TTGCCTAGATGGCATAAGTCGTGAATCACTACCTCACTTCAGGCTGTCTCCCACGCTGACGTAGTGGGCTTGGGCCTGTATTTGCAGATCGCTGTGGAGAATGGCTTCGGGGGCGTGCACAGCCAGGAGAAGGCCGAGTGGCTGGGGGGTGCAGTGGAGGAGTATTTCATCCGCAACGGTGAGTGAATGGGAGGCTCTCTGACCTGTATATGTGGACACGTGGGGTAAAAGTCTTAAAAAAATAAAACACCCACTGCCATGGCGTCAGTTTCTACTCATAGCGATCCCCACTGGGTTTCCAAGGCTGTAAATCTTTACAGTAGCTTGCCTCATCTTCCTGCCGAGGAGCAGCTGGTTTGAATTGCTGACTTGGTTAGCAGCCAAATGTCTCAATCCACCAAGCTCACCCACTACGCCTCTATCGCTCCTTCATGGGCTTATTTTAAGGGTTCTTAAAAGAATAAGAAAAAAATAGAATAAGAGGCGCAGCAGAGGACATGTTGCATAGTATAGTATGACTTTTACAAAATTTTTCATTCGTTCTGTAGCCTCGGAGGTGACATTAGGCAAAGTCGTTTCTCACAAAAACGTACACTCTGTATTGAAGGAGCCGGACAACACAGGGTCGTAAGTGTTCTGAGAAAGAGATTATCAGGGTGCGGGCGAGGGGGGATGTGAAACTACGGAGAAGGCTCTTAAGGGGAGGTAGTGATTGGGCTGAGTCTTAAAGGATAAGCAAGAGTTAACTAGGTAGAAGAAGCAGAGAGCAATATATGCCTAAGTTCTGTTGTATGAAGAGGTGGTGTGTGATACTTGGAAAGTGGCGGGGATTTCAGTATTGGAAGAAAGGTGTGTGTGTGTGAGGGTGGAGGAGTGGTGGAGAATGAAGTTGGGGTGGGGAGGCCCCACAAAAAGACTAAAACATGAAAGGCCTTACATGGCCTTTAATTTTTTTTCTTTAGGCTAAAATGCATGCCGTAGAAGACAATTCTGTTAGCTGTTCAGGAAAGAAAAAGCTGCTCTAGTTAAATTATACAGGCATGCCTCAGAGATAATGTGGGTTCGGTTCCAGACCACCACAGTTAAGTGAGTCATATGAATTTTTTCGTTTCTCAGTGTACTTAAAAGTTATGTTTATACTATACTGTAGTCTATTGAATGTGCAGTAGCGTTATGAAAAGGTTCGAAATACTGTGAGAATTACCAAAATGTGACACAGAGACATTTGACATTGGTCACAAGAGTGACCACATGCTTTTGGAAAAAGGGCGCCAATAGACTTGCTCAACAGAGGGTTGCCACAGACCTTCAGTTTATGGGGGAAAAAAAAACACCTTGCACTATCTGTGAAGCACAATAAAAAGAGGTATGTTTGTGTAAGAAAAGCTCTTTTTTTTGCTCCCACTTAAGTTCTCAACATTCTTAAGCATATTAAAGGCTTGGATAAGAATAACCAGTTATCATCAAGTTGATCGGGCCTCTTGGCCACCCCATGTGTACCAGTAGAATTGTGCTCCATAGAGTATCTAATGGCTGATTTTTTATAAGTAGATCACCAGGATTTTTTTTTTTTTGAGTCACGTCTGGGTGGACTCTAACCTCCAACCTTTTGGTTAGCAGCTGAACACATTAACTGTTTGCAACACCCAGGGACTCCTTGGATAAGGATAACCAGTTGTGCTCAAGTGGATTCTGGGCCATGGTGACCCCATGTGTACAGAGTAGAACTGCACTGCATAGGATTTTCAAGACTGAGCCCTTTTGGAAGTGGATTGCCAGGCCTATCTTATGAGGTGCCTCTGGGTGGGTTCGAACTGCCAACTTTTTGGTTAGTAGTTGAGTATTTAACCGATTACACTAGCCAAGGATTCCCTGGATAAGGGTTCTAAAAAACGAAACCAAACCCACTGCCACTGACTTGATTGTGACTTACAGTGACTCTATGGGGTAGAATAGAATGCCCAATAAGGTTTCTAGGGCTGTAATCTTTATGGAAGCAGACTGCACATCTTTCTCCCATGGAGTACCTGGTGAGTTGGAACTGCTGACCTATCAGTAGCTAAGAACCACTAAAAAGACACTTGTTTACTTGTGTTTCCCATTAGCTTTTTATGCACCAAAAGGAGCCCTGGTGGCACAGTAGTTAAGCACTCAACTGGACCAAAACCCAGACCAAACCCATTGCTGTCAAGTTGATTCTGACTTATAGCAACCCCTAGCAGAACAGATATTTCTCAAAGGTAGACTATGAAACACTGAAGTAGGGGTTAAAAATTCATGGGCAGGTTCTAAGGTGAGTAATAGGATAGGATTTGCTACCTAGGAAGATCACAAGGTAATCAGTATGGAGCATAAACGGTAGAGGGAAAGACTGAATGAGAAGGCTGTTTTTGTGTAGAAAATGATGAGGCCTGAACTAGGGCAGTTGCAATGGTCATGGAAAAGGAGGGGTGGATTGGGGTTTTAGAGATTGCTTGCTATTGGGGGGAAAGGAAAAGAATACAAGTTTCTGGTTTGACTCACTGGGGGGATTAGTTGCCTTTCACGGAGTAAAGGAAGGTACCTAAGTGGCACAAACGGTTTGTTTTCAACTGCTAACCTAAAAGTTGGCAGTTTGAACCCACTCAGCGGTGCCATGGAAGAAAAGGCCTGGTGATCTGCTTCCACGTAGATTACAGCCAAAAAATAAATCAACAAAACTCTATGGAGCAGTTCTATTCTGCAACACATGGAATCGCCATGAGTCAGAATCAACTAGATGGTAACTAACAACAATAACATGGAATAGAGGAACTCTGAAGCATGAAAAGTGGGTTTGGGAGGATAACTGGTAAGTCTGGCTTTGGATGTAGAGGGTCTTAGGTAACTGTGAAACATCTAGGCACAGGGTAATATGAGTTGGAGACAGATTTGGGAGATACTACTCGGAGTCAAGGTTGGGCAATCCTACTTCCGTAGTGATACTGCCTCGGAAACCCAAGGAGGGGTCGCTATGAGTCGGGGCCAACTCGACGGCACATAACAACAACAACACTCGGAGTCATGGAGTCCCTGGGTGGTGCAAACAAACTATTAGTTGGCAGTTCAAACCTATCCAGAGGTGCCTCTTGGAAAACAGGCCTGGTGATCTACTTCTAAAAGGTCACAGCCTTGAAAACCTTATGGAGTGATTCTGTTCTGCACACTTGGGGTTGTCATGATTTAGAATTGATTCAGCAGCAGCATACAACAACAGGATAGGGTGGTAGGGAAATCCAAGGGGGTGAATGAACTCCCCCATAGAGAGCATGTAGAGTGAAAGAGAGGGTATAGAGCTTGGTAGAAGGTGTTCCTGAGTAGAGAAATTCAGAAAAAGTAGAGGGTTTGCCCTGGGCCTGTAAGGAAACTGAAGCCCACAGAGGTGGTCTTGGCCAAGGTCTCATGGGATTTTGATGTTAAGGCTATGAAAATTTAATTTCATCATCTTTGGAAGTATTTATACCCATTTCTTCTTACCTACCTCATGGTCTGTGGCCTCCTGTACCAATGATGCCACAGTTATGAAGGGTCTCTACTCCTCAAAAAAGTCATCTTTGAGTGATGGAAATTGAACATGGATTATGGATCTCCCCTGTGCCAGGTATTGTTTTGGATGATCTCTCCTGACAGACCTTTAAGGAGGCCACTATTAGTCCTGTTTTTCAGATGAGAAAACTGAGGCTCAGAAAGGAGGAAGTAACTAGCTCATGGTCATCAGATAAAATCAGCCCACCCAATGAATGAACATGGGGCTACAGGCTGGGAGCTGTGGCAATGGAAGACTTGGTAGGATGCAGGGTATAGGAATTATTTATTTATATTTTTAATAAAATCATGTTAAGACCTAGAATGCAGAGCACTTCAGTGAATAAAAGTCTCTTTGGGCCTTTATGCACCAACCAGATGTGGACTCACTACGTATTGAGAAGTAGTGGACAGGGGTGATAAGGTTGGCTGGTCTTTGACCAGAGGGCCCTATCCTTTCCTACTCAGCTGACTTGGAGCTAGATGAGGTGGAGGACTTCCTCGGGGAGCTCATGACCAACGAGTTTGATACAGTTGTGGAGGATGGGAGTCTGCCCCAGGTGAGCTTATTGTAGACACAAATGCTATCTCCTTGTCTGTAGTCTTTTCTCTCCCTAACACTGTCTAGGGCCAGGACTCTTGGCTGTAATCATTCTTCTTTTTTGAGTCCTGCACAAGACCCTTCTATGACTGCCTATTGCCAAGTGGAAAGAGGTATCTCCAGGCCTTTCCAAACCCTACCTCTCCTCCCTTATGTCTCTCAAAACATCATTCCAAGCTAGGCCTGTTCCTCTCCCCCATCCCAAGGGCAGGCCAGGTATATCTCTCCGCCCCCCCCTCCCCCACACACACACTGGGATTGCTTTTTTATATCTTTTGTTTTTTAAAGCCTAGTTCTAGTACCTTCCCTGCTAGGAGGCCTTCACCCGATCTCTTCATATGTGGTTGCTTCACTGATAAACTCTTTGGGGATGAAAGAGCTCCATTCTCTTATGGAAAATCCCAGTGCCTTCCCTACTCTTGCTGTAAACATGAGCTGGTTGTATAGTTGGTTCTCTGGAAAATCACAGCTGGTTGAGTGTTTTCTTGGTAGGTGAGCCAGCAGCTGCAGACCATGTTTCACCACTTCCAGAGGGGTGATGGTGCTGCTCTGAGGGAGATGGCCTCTCACATCACCCAAAGAAAGTGCAGGGTCACAGCCACTGCACTTATGACAACCAGAGAAACTGATGAGGATGAGGATGATGCAGACAGCACGGAGGAGATGGAGGTGAAGGGGTGCCCCATGGGGAGAATACAGGTGTTTTTAGTTTTCTGGGAGATTAGCTGGTTTTTAAGGGAAGTGCTAAGGGGGGTTGATGGTGGTGGTGGTAGTATTATCCAGAAACGGCAGGGTACTTTCCTAAGATTAAATAGCCAGCCCTAGGCAAAGCTGGAAGCAGAACCTAGGTCTCCAATGGCCACAGCTACAACGTGTAATATTTAGCTCTGTCTTGTATTTCCCCTCCAGGTCACAGCTACGAACGATGGGGCAGCTACAGATGGGGTCTGCCTCCAGCCTGAACCCTCTGGCCCAGACTCCCAAACCATTAAGGAAGAGGATATAGTGGAGGATGGCTGGACCATTGTCCGGAGAAAGAAATGAGTGGGGCTGGAAATGGTTTGGGCCCTTGTTTGCTAGTTGTTTTGAGACTTTTTTTAATGGCATGTTTTGGAGGATTATGGATCTCTTGACAGGCTACCCCTCTACCCTCTCCTTTACCCAGTTCTTTCCATAGGAAGAGAAGCCTTGGTTGCAGAAGGTCTGGTCCACTGTACCTTCCCTGGACCTTAAGTTGCTACCTGAGTTTCAAGGCCAGGTTTCTTAGCATAGTGCCTGTTGGGTTCAGTCAGTGTGGAAGAGAGAGGGAGGAGTGAATATGAGTGTGGATGGAGGAGCAGCTAGATACTGGTTGACTGGGAACGTGGATTTGTGAAGGGAAAGGACCAGCAAAGGAACCAATACTCGGTGCTAGGGGGCTGACTGAGTCAGGAATGGTGAGATGAACATGCAATTGGAAGTGTAGTTGAAGATGAGAATGAAAGTATAGGTTGTGTGTGGCTTAATGTCCATTCAAGTAACGTCTGACTGCATATGTCTGGTCGAAAATAGCTCTCTTTTGTTTACCATTCACCTCTGATGGTTTTCAAGACCCCAATGCCAGATTCTTACAGCACTGGACCATGGGTAAGATACAGGCAGGTGAGACAGAGGACATGGTTCTGGGTGTGGGCTTTCAGGTGTTGTCTGGCAGCTGTGGCTGCTGTGGGGCCTGGGTTACTCCTGCTGCTCAGGCAGGCAGAACAGTGGGCAGGGCTGGGCATGCTCCATTTCCTCCCTACCGCTGCCCAGGTGCCACTGCCTTTAGCCAGGTTTCCGTTCCTGCAGGCTCTGCCAGCAGCAGTGACAATGAGAACGACTGGAAGCATACTCATGATTTTAATAGGGTATCCGCACAGTGTTGCGTAATATCCTTTTTCACAGGATGATGTCATGTGTTGTGGACATTAAGCAACACATACCTGTAGTTGTGGTATGCTCTGCCCAGAACTTGGAACCTCCCAGGAATGCTCCCTTTCTGCAGCCCAGCCTCGAGCCTTGGATTCCCTTAGGAATTCTAAGACATTGGGTAGGTGGTGTGCTTAGGAAAGTTGAGCTTTGTCTTTTGCTTCCTCCACTCCCTACCCCTACTCTGCATCCCATCCTGATTAAGTTTAGGGGTGAGGCTTAAGAACTCAATAAATACGTTACTGTTTAATTTGTTACTTGACCTGTGAGTAGCCTTGGAATCAGCCTTCTGGAGGCTGACCTTCAGAGCTTGAGCAAGGGAGCAGTTTCTGGGCCCATCAGAGCAGTATGGTACTTTGGACAAACAAATAGATGGACAAAAAGCATAGAAGTGTTCTGGAAGTTTCTGTAAGCCTGAAATAAACTGTATTTTTCTTTAAAAACAAAACAAAGAGTATCCATTGTCCACCCCATCCCACCCCATCCTTCCATTCCCCTGTCCTGCCCAGTGGCCCTGCCGTGGGTCTGGACGATAAAATACTGGGTAGCGTTGGGGCTGGACAGAAACTGTAAGCCATGGGAGAGGTTCAGTCACCACCTCACATTGAGTGAGTTGAACATGTGAAAACAGGCCACAGGTCATTGGCAGAGCTGGCACTTGAATCCACCATGTCTCCTTTCTCCAGTGCTTTGGGAACTGGGTGGAGGCAGGCTCTGTAGGATGTGTGTGTGTAGGGGGTGGTAAATAATGGCCTAATTCAGGCTGATCTAGCAATAGGTCCCACCCTTTCTGGTGGGGGAGGATTAAAAAAATTAACATCACTGTAGGAGGAGGTTTTTTTTTTTTTTTAAGCCCACATTTTGTGAAAAGGTTAATTAAAAAAATCCAAGACCCAGCATTCAGGATTGAAAGTGCCCATGATGGGAGTTCAAGTATTGACTGAGCTAGGAGGGAGGGGGCCGACCCCTTATTGGACATGGGCAACTAGAGTGTCAGACGGGGGCTCCTAGTAACCCCCAAACTCTCTAGGTCTTATCTTGGGTCTGGGGAGCTTCGGGGGTCTCAGCAGTGGCTCCTGAAGCTACCACTGGTGCTTCCTCCATTTCCCTGTCCTCAGACAGTATGGGCCCTGGGCAGAACGTGTCTCCACGGCCTGCCCTGCCAAGCACTGCCATCCAGCGCCGCTGCAGCTCCTCCGTCTCAGGGCTGAAGTACCAGCTCAGATGGCTCTGAGTGATCTTGAAGACATGCCGTCTGTCAGGCCGCTCTCCTGCTTCAGGAGGCCCCACCTCAAAGCCAATGAGGGGCAGGCTGCGCTGGGCTTTCACATCCTGGGGAGCAGAGACAGCTGGGTCACACTGGGGCTGGGTCTCCCCCTATGCCCTAGCTTCTAACCAGTTTAGTATTTGCTACCCTCTTTTCCTTCCCCTGATCAAGAACCTACTGTGGCCCTACCATTATCAATAGGAAAATGCCTGACTGGGTCTAGAATGCAGGCTGGTTGAAATATATTATTTACTCCCACCCCAACACTGGCTAGGCTTTTCTCTTTAGCATAAACCAAATAATGTCTTCAGGCCTTTGTCTAGGCTATTGCCCCAACTGCATGCTCTTCACTCCAAATTGGATCTAGCAGTGCCCCATTTCCACTCCTGTTTCTAGGAAATAGCCCTAGGAAGCCAGCCCTCCCAACCCATCCCAGTTGTCCCTACATACCCTGTCCCACAATCACTCCTTGTCCCTAACTACTCTTTGTCTTACAAGGGTGAGGCTTTGAATTCCCTTTAGGTAAGGGTAGGCTCACTCTAATCCCTAAGCCAAGGAGAATTAAAGGACTGTAACGTAAGAGACAGGTGGCTGAAAGGACCTGAAGGAGTAGAATGCACACCTGAGGGGCTCCATAGATGTACAGCACCAAGGGTTCATTCTCGGGAACAACAAACCACGCCTTGTGCCATCCTTTCCCGCCCTTCTCCATGTAGTGCAGGAAGCTGCAGATAATGCTGTTCTCTGCAGCCACTGAGGCCTGTTTCTGTGGCCAGAGACATGGGGAACATCAATGTTGACAGAGACCTAGCCTGGTTCCTTTTGGTGTAGGGATTGCCATATCTTAGATGAGAACATTGAAGCTCAGGTGGCAGGAGTGATTTGCCCAGTGTCATCTAATGAGTCAGACAGAATTGGGATTCAAAGCCAGGCTTGTCTGTCTGATGGGCCCTGGCTGCTGCCTCTAAGTACTGGTGGAAGGGGTATAAACATTTCATCTAAATGCCTCATCAGGCATTCTTCCTTCACTCCACTTATTCCTTAGGTCATTCATGCATTTATACCTCACCTTTTTGTCATCTTTCATCATATATACATAACCTACACACAAGGCATTGAGGTTATGGGGGTGAGTGGGTGGGTGATTAAGGTAGTCTGGCTTAGAATCCCTGCTCTAGATGAAAATGCATCAACTTGGAAAGAGGTTGTGGTGAGGATTAATCACTATATGTAAGGCACTTAGAATAGTGCCTGGTACAAAGTAAACACTCTGTGTTAAATAAATACCTCAATTTATTTTAAAAAATGTATGCATGTGTGTATGTGCACAAGCAACTAGAAGGATAGTGTAACAGTAGTAATCTGGGTGGAAGGAATATGTTTTTATTATTGTTTATACTGTCTAATTTTCATATATATATATCTCCTAATATCCTACTTTATAATAATAAAAGATTAATTTGTTAATTAAAAAAAATTCCGTCTCTTATCACTCACTGGTTGTGTAACTTAGGCAAATAACTTGGGGTCAGTCTCCTTTTGTGTAAAATAGGAATAGTAATAGCATAGGTAGATGAGTTACTGTGAAGATTAAATGTATAATATACTTAAAATAAAAATCACTGTCTTTTGACTCTTGCATTCATTTTACTCATTCCATCCCTGGGTTACTTGTTCACTGGACACACATGACACTCTTAATACTGTGGGATGCCTAGTCCTCAGTCACACTGGATGGGTGGCTGAGGCCCATATGGTTGGTATGGAGGAATTAGTTTGGGGGCTTGGCTCTTACCTCCAGTATGGACCTCCGACGCTGAGGTGTATGCTGGCTGCAGGCTGGGCTGCTCCCGGGCACCCCATGCAAGGCCACATAGCAGTCGGTGCACACACGGTTGGAGCGGTTGTTGTCATAGATGAGGCGGGCCCGGAACTCGGAGCACTTCCCACAAACCACCTGGGGTGGTAGGTGGGCAAGAGCAGCCTGATTCCAGTGGGCCTTCCCCTACAGTGTATCATCTCCCACAGTGGACCTGCAGCCTACCCCCACTTAGAGGCTGCCCACTGAGAAATGGGCCTTTGGACTGCCAGCCTGTCCCCTCCCCAGCTCTGCCCCTGCCTCCCAACACTCACATGCCCACAGGCCTTGCAGTGGTGCCTGCGTTTGGTGATGGAATTGAAGGGCTCCTGACAGCGCATGCACATGGTGACTTCCTTTTCCCGGATGGGTGTAGGTGCCCGCTTTCCAAGATCCACATTCTAGGGGAGAGGGCCAGGTCCCAGATCAGAGATGGCTACACCCTAACCCAGTCCAGCCAGCCACTGACTCTGCCCCAGGTATGGATCACTATGACGGGCAATGGACATATTCAGAAGATTTGACCCTGCTTCACTGTGCTACTAAAAACAAGTCACTTCTACTCCCAGGGCCTTGGCTTCCCCAGTGATTTCTCTGCGGCCCTACCAACAGAAAACTCTGCTTCTTAAGTCATGCATTTTTTTGCTTCTCTGGTCTTTACTCTCTGAGAAAGGCAGAGGAACATTTCAGGGTAAGGTGGGGACTTAAGAGACCTGAAAGGGGCTCCAGCGCAGGAGAAGTGGGTAGGGACTCTTACTGGAGAATTGGGGGGGGTGTCTTCATCTTCCCTGTTTGTTGAGTTCAACAGTTTGAAGGTCTCCAGAGCCTGTTCATGCTTCAGGAGGGTAGAGTTGATGGCCTGAGGTGGTATATGAGAGGTCAGATTATCCCACAATCCACCCCATTTCCACCCTCAACCTCACCATCCTATGCCCTGGTCTGGAGTCAGAAAAACTGGTTTCTAGGCCCAGC